TGATTTTTTTGGATAGCAACGTTAAGTTCAATATTGGCCTGTAGTTGTTTACATCTGTGGGGTCACCACCTTTGTGTACTGGTGTAACCTTTGCTATCCTGAGTAGTGTCAGGAAAGTGCTGGTTTCTAGTGATTAATGAAATAGCAGGAGAAAGAACACGAGCCGCTTGTTTGTACAATAATGGTGGGACTTGAGCGAGATTTCCCGATTTATTTTTAAGTGACTAAATAATCGTGGTGATTTCTGTGGGCTCAGTTGGTGCAAGATAGAAGTAGGTTGGGAAATTCTCATCTAAGTACAGCAGACCCTCCTTTTCATTCATTTCCATTATCGCCGATTTTTTCCGTAAAATTATTGGCTCCATTTCTATTGCTTTCCTCCGTTATCATCGGTGGTACAGTACATGTCCTAGTGTGCTGCGCACACAACCTCCCATACACACATTCTGAGGAGGCAGTGTTGCTTTGTCTTACTTCGTTTCTTGGCGAGTGAACATTATCCTGCAAGGCCATAGAAACATTTCACAATAATTCACATTTTTTGCACTTTTTTATTGTGTGATTGCTAAATAAGCCACTATGGGCCCAAAGAAAGCTGCTAGTATCAGCCCGTTGCTAAAAAAGGTGAGAAACATGATAGAATTCAAGAAAAAACTTGTACCCAAGTGGAGGAGGAGGAGAGAGGGGAGAATGTGCCTTCTTCAGTGATTCTACAGTATGTATGATACTAGAGCACCAGGAATTGATAAAGGCTATAGTGCTAGCCAGCGATAAAGTGTAGCATTAACAGGGTAGCAAGTAAGTTAAGCGATTAAGCGATAGAAAAAGGATGACACGAAACCGATTCCTGCAATGTTATTGGAGATGTACATAGGGTCACTGACAAACATACGTTGCGCTGTCTGTCTTCCACCACCCTAAACCAATGCCAGCATCTCCAAGGTATAGTAAGTGTAAATATTTCTAATTTATAAATTACGTACATTGTATGGATAGTGTTGGCGGCTTCTCCTGCAGCCTCCACTACCACTAATATGTATGGCTTCTCTCAGTGGCCCTTGTAAACCCAACAACACCACCACCACTTACTCCTCACATACGTAATGACGTATTTTATTCATTCTAGAGTATATATAATGTTTCTATGTTGTTAATATTGTTTATTATGTCATATTAGATGAAATGTGATAAATAAATTAGCCGTGGAATATAGTTGTTCTCCATAAAATGTATTTTTTGTTTATACTTTTGGATGCCCGAAACAGATTAATTGAATTTACATTATTTCTTATGGGGAAAATGGTTTCAGTTTTAGTCATTTTCACATTTTGTCAGACTGGAACGAATTAAAGACAAGAAGGGAGGGTACACTGTAATCACTCACTCAGGCATTGGCACCTGGGATTTTACTGGCGAGATTTGATCCTATGGTTAGGAAAAAGTCATTTATCTTGTTAACTGCATCAATAGGCTGTAGCTGGGTTTCAGTCGGTTTAGTTAGGACAATATCCCTATTTTTTTTTCATTTTGTGGGTGCCTAGAATCTGAGAAAGTGTCTTCCAGGTCTTTTTTGACCTGAGCTGACTAAGTTAGGACATTTCCTTAAGCCGGTAGGAGAATTGGACCTGCCTCGCATGGGCCAGTAGGGCTGTTGCAGTGTTCCTTCTTTCTTATGTTCTTAAGCTTTTCTGAAATGCTTGGCATAACCATGGACTTTCAACGTGCACTCCAGTATCACTCATTTCTGTATAAACATTGTACAGTAGAATCTCAAATTTCAAACGTATCGCTTATTAAACTCTTCGAAAATTGATCACTTTTTTCGAACCAACTTTGTCCCTATTATCGAAGTTGTCCCTTCTTTCGAACCACCGGGTACTGGACCTGTCCGCCAGCCCGCTCTGTCCGCGTCCCCGAGCAGGCGCCGTGAGCCAGTCTGGCTTTGTTGATGCTTGAGTGAACACTAACCTGCGGTCTCATTCAAACATTTTATGATTAATTCATTGTGTTTAGTGCTTGTGAGACTGTGAAATAAACTACCATGGGCCCAAAGAAACTCACTAGTGGTACCCCTGTGGTAAAGAAAGTGAGAAACACCATAGATGTGGTGATGGCAGGTGATAGTGTTTCAGAGACGATTATTTGTGAAAGGGCAAGGAAGTTGCATGCCGATTCAAAGATTAAGGAGATTTGCGCCAAGTGGAATGCTGTCTAAATGTTTGTGGAGAAGTACTACCCTGAGAAAGCTGAAACAAGCCATCTTTGCAACAAGTTCAGTGACAGAACCATGTCCCATTTTATGGAAATCTTAGAGGCACCAGAAACAGAGGACTGTGGACAGTTATTTTGTGAGACAGGTCCAGCAACTCTCAAGCTGGTCCTAGTGGCATTAAAAGACAGAAGGAAAGTAGCCCCAGAGAGGGCTTTGATACCTAAAGTCCTTATGGAGGGGGGATTCCCCTTCCAAACACTAACCCCAACTCCCTCTCTCCTCCTCCCTATCTTCCAAATGCAATCACCAATCTTCAATAAAGGTAAGTAAAAATGTTATTTTATACGTTCATTTAAATTTATTAATAATTGTACACTATTTGTTGTGTGTATGTAAAACTATAATGTAATGCTATCTATAAAATGTATTTTTTTGTGAATATTTTTGGGTTTGTGGAACGGATTAATTGCGTTTCCATTATTTCTTATGGGAAATATTGCTTTGCCTTTCAAGCTTTTCGACTTTAGAACTAGCTCCTGGAACGGATTAAGTTCAAAATTTGAGGTTCCACTGCATCATGTTGAAAAATTTGTATCTGTAACTGTTTGCTACCCAGCTGATGCCAGGCAGACACTTCCTTCAGATATATGGCTTTCTGGACCTCTCTGTAAAATAATTGAAGACAACATTCATAAATATGAATTGCCACACATTATCCATGAAAGATAACCACTTAAAAATACCAAGAGAAATAAATGCAAGTGATTTCACTATGTTCCCACATTGTTGGCTAGTCAGAAATTAGCAACATTTTCCTACTGGCAATGAGCTCTCTCCCGTGTATAAATTTTTTGCAACTATAGCAGGAACCTAATACAGTGGACCCCCGCATAACGATCACCTCCGAATGCGACCAATTATGTAAGTGTATTTATGTAAGTGCGTTTGTACGTGTATGTTTGGGGGTCTGAAATGGACTAATATACTTCACAATATTCCTTATGGGAACAAATTCGGTCAGTACTGGCACCTGAACATACTTCTGGAGTGAAAAAATATCGTTAACCGGGGGTCCACTGTATAATGCAACCTTATTTAATCTACATTTAAATTATGGTGTGTAAACCTAAATTGTGTTGGACAACTCATGGTTATATTTTAATAAGTCAACAAACCAGCAACCTGGACTTCTGATACCAGAAGAACTGATAGGGCGATAGGGATAGAATGCACAAAATACCAAGACATGGCCAAGGATACAGATGGAAGCTATAAAGTGAGCCATAGATATGATGGGAATACAGCAATTCAATAATATTAAGAGCAGACGTGGAACAGAATGAGCTATTTATGAGGAAATGGCAGAATCAAGCTATATACATTTTTAAGTACAGTACATGTACTGCAAGGTACTCAAGTCACAGAAACCAGTTAATGTTAGTTACTGAAAAATTTAATTTTTCAGATTATTGTTCATTAATAACTATCATTAAAGTGAACTTAAAGTGAGAAACATTTATTACTTCTTAAATTATATAGGGTATTTAATCTATGTGACTTTTACATAATGTAAAACCATATTTGCATCGATAATTGATGAGTCAACATGTACAAAAATGTTTCATATGTTTACCACAGAATGGGGAGGGGGTGATATAATTATTGCCTTAATTTGTTGATCAAACCATATTGTAATTTACATCTGGGCTCCCACTACATTTGAATTTACAGTAGGTATGTTCATTATTAATTAATTTTTAATTTCCCAAAACAAAAATTCTTAATGAACCAGCAAGTCAAAATATTATTTAAAGACAAGTTTAAGAATATGAGAGACATGGTATCACTTTTTAAGGGATACCACTCCTCATTTGAAAACTATGTTTACTGAGGCAACACTGTCAATTTGTGTGTTAATTCCAATTCAATTTAGGAGTCTAAAAAAAAAAAAAAGGCCCCGAGTATGCTTCCTCATTAAAATATTAAATTCGGTGTGTAAAATTACCACGAGAAGAGGAACTGCTTACACGTGCAGTCTGCATCAGACACTATATTGAATTCCACATCTTCCATCTTCAATTTAATGTAATTCGCAGGTAAGTATTTCTGTATTCTCAGGCATCTGACCAGTGAGGCCTTGCTAGGGATAGGTATAATGGGGGAAACCTGGAAAGTGGTCTTGTTGTAAATTATCTATGTATAGTATATCCTTTGTAACAATTAAGGTATTAGTGTAAATGTTCATTATTTAATTAGACATCAGATGAGACAAGATCTACTGATCACCAGATAAACTACATTAATGGGTCTGTCGACTACAGATGAAGCTCATTTGAGCAACCTTGATGTTATTAATACATCATAGTAATTATAAGTCCAATGGCAAAATGGAGGATATGTCCAGACTAGAGCTGTTGAAGGATTAAGTGAGTTTATTTAGGTACAGGTACACAAGTACAATTATCAAACACGTGTAAATTACCTAGGATAACCCCCAAAACAGTCAAAGTGACTTATTTTCATTGGGATCCTGCTGTATGCCCGTCCCTTTAGGACAGAACATAATTAATTCACATTAATCATGAGTGATTTATATTATTACAACAAAACTGAACTCTTAACCCACAAGATCCATACATTGGATGCAGTGATTTATAGTAAATTAAAACTCTTTAGAGTGAAAGTAAGGGTTTAGCCCCAGTGACACCAAGAGCTGCAACTCAACCTCCACAGATACAGTGAGCAAACATACATATACACAAGGTAATCCATACAGATCAGTACTTACCATCGACTTTGCTGTAACATTATACGGTAGCAGATTTTTGCCACTGACATGCTTAGCAGCTGCAGATGGTGTAAGAGGTGTGTGCGCATGGCCTGTGGTGATGCCCGGAGAGATGGTCGACATATTGGATGATGACTGTTGCTGGGTAGTGTGCGCACCACTCCCTAGTTTGTGCTGCCACTGTGCCAAACGATCACTAGGAGTATTTAGTGTGTTACTCATATTGCTATTTTGGCTCATAATGCTGTTGTGATTATAGCTGACTCCAGAAGCTACACTACGCACTGCTGTTGATGGGTAAGGTGGAGCTGGTGGTGGAACTTGAGCTATTTGTCCCGTAATTAGACCTAAGGTGGTGGGAACATATGACTGTACAGAGGTGATGCTTCTCACTACCGATGATGGGTATGGAGGTGGTGGAGGTGGGAGATACGGCTGTTGAGCTGCCCTTACCACAGAAGATGGATAAGGTGGTGGTGGTGGTGGAGGCAGTGCTCCTCCTCCCCTTAATAAACTCTGGGGAGTTGAAGGAGTTGATGGAGTGGAAGGAGTTGATGGTACTGGAGAGTGTGTTCCCAGGGTAGACTGGGTACTAGACAAGCCCAAGTTCTGGAACTGTCGCACAAGAGACGATGGGTAAGGTGGCGGTGGTGGTGGATCAGCCCCACTAACACTCTTTAACACCTCAATGTTAGCATAATTATGAGTCGATGTCACTATAGGAAACACCACAGAAGAGGCACGAGAATTTCCAAGAGATACGGACGATTCACTTGCCTCTGTCGAAGACACTGAATTTAAACTAGGGGGTTTTCCAGGGTAGGGCGGGGGAGGAGGAAGAGCAGTAGGACTTGGAGTCGCAACAGGGGTGTGCGACGGTCGAGTTAGGCCTAAAGAATGTGGTGGAACAGGGGGAGGCGGAAGGGCATCGTAATAAATACCCCGATGTCTAACAGAGTCACTACTCACACTCCACTGCGAATTATGTCTAGCATTTTCCTGAACATAAGCATTGTTTCTGGGAATAACAAATTCTTTGCCTTCTAGATCTTGTTCTATTCGAGGGGGAAGATGCCTATTAACTATAGTGGGTCTATGTAAACTACCTTCTTCCAAAATAGTCTGACTGGCTAAGCTCGTTCTATCTAGACTAGAACCTTGTAAGGAATGTACTAAGCTGCTCCTGGGGCTGGAATGCTTCGAGTCTTGGGAACTTATACTGGAACGTGGACTGGCATATTTATTTTCAATAATCGTAGCCGCTAAACTACCCTGAGGTCCGTAATGATGATAAGTGTTAATATTTTCATAAGTATGAAGTCCCAAAAAATTAGGTTTCACAACATATTCACTGGAATGATGAGTCGCAGATTGTGGAATGGAACGAGAGTTGAGTCCAGAGTTGTGTCCGGAGTTGAGAGAGTCGTGACTACCACCACTGACACTGGAGCGAGGACTGGAGTGTGCTGAACTACTGAGGTTGTTCCTGCCATAGATGGGTGGGGGTTCGTACCTCACGTGGCCAGAGTACAGCGACTGTCCGTTGACAGGCTTGGGTACGGAGCTTCCTCCATTAGGAAGGTGTACACTGCCCTTACTACTGACCACAGTGGTGGGTGTGATGTGGGCATAACCCACAGTGGTGCAGGTGGTGAGTGAGGCAGTGACCAGGCCCTGGGGGGCAGTGACCAGGCCCTGGGGGGCAGTGACCAGGCCCTGGGGGGCAGTGACCAGACCCTGGGGGGCAGTGACCAGAACCCTGGGGGGCAGTGGATCAACTCCCTGGGGCAGTGGATCAGACCCTGGGGCAAGTGACCAGTCCCTGAGGGGCAGTGACCAGTCCCACATGAGGAGTGGACCATTCCCTGAGGGGCAGTGGACCATCCCGAGTGCAGTGGCCAGTCCCCTGAGGGGCAGTGGACCATCTCCCTGATGACTAAGTGAACCAGTCCCTGAGGGGGCAGTGACTCTCCCTGAGATGGCAGGTGACCAGTCCCTGAGTTGTGGCAGTGACCATCCCTGAGGAAGAGCATTAAAAACCACCATTTCTGAGGGGCCGTAAACCAAGCCTGAGAGCAGTAACCAGGCTGTGGGTGCAGTACCCAGGCGTGAGGTGCAGTAACCAGGCCGTGAGTGTGCAGGCAGCAGTCAGTGCACCATTTAGAGTTGGGTCAGTCAACACAGGCGCACACATCAGGTTGCCTTTGGGAGTTGCAAACGAGAGTGCACAGCGATGACAGTGCGATAGAGTCTAAGCACCCTGGTAGCAGTTGTATGGTGGGCAGGCTGGCACTCATCTAGCCTTGCCTTGATCAGTGACTCGATGGCAACCCAGCCTGGGTGCCACTTGCTCTGCGCCACCCACCACCTGCGCTCAGGCGCCATTACTCTGCCGCTGCTTACCCGCCGCCGCTCCGCGCGCCCCCGCGCCAGTATGCGGGCCATAACCAGGCCATCCACTCGGCCCACCACTTCCCTGCCACTGCTGGCCCTCAAGTCACGCACCATTATGGTGGGCCACCTCATACTTGTAAATGATGTAGTCTCTTTGTAGTAGACGGGCTGGTGTCTGCCGCTGCGTCACTACCATACGCGGGCCATGGCATAAAACACTGCTCATTCATACATAACAACACTCCTCACAACACACCCACGTATCACATTTCCACTCATGTATTTCACTGGTGAATCACTGTCCACAACAAGTGCCATGGCGGAATCAATACAAAGAGTCGATCTCAAACATGAAGTTTTCATTACTTCACCCACCTCTCTCACTTCCTCAATATCATGGAAATAGTTCACAGATATACTGTGAAGCTAAATCTACTCCTCCGAGCTCAAGCTTAATGGCTTTTAGAGGAATTTACGCGAAAGTTATCTACACTACTTTTGTGTTAAAAAAGCCTTCATCAGAGGGCAGCAACTGGTCGCATTTGTTTTCCACTTCCACATAGAAAGTGACAGCCATTGTAGCGAGCAGTGACTGTGTAATAAATTGTATTATTATAGTAACATTGTAGCATTACTGTTATAAATGTACTATTAAAGTTACACTGTAACAGTGTACCTCGTTATAATGTACGATTGTTTTCCTTCCGGGAGCATGCCCCCCACCCCACAAATGGTGTGTGGTAAAAAAAAAGGATAAAGGGGGGGGGAAAAAAAATTTGTTAGTGAAAGATTTGGGAGATGCAGTGTCTGTTTATTTTGTTTTTATGAGGTTCACTGTAACAATGACTGTTATAATGTAAATATTATAGTTACACTGTAACAGTGACTGTTATAATGTACTATTATAGTTACACTGTAACAGTGACTGTTATAATGTACTATTATAGTTACATTGTAGCAGTGACTGTTATAATGTACTATTATAGTTACACTGTAACAGTGACTGTTATAATTGTACTATTTATAGTATTACACTGAACAGTGACTGTTATAATGTAATATTGTTTCCTTCCACCATAAGAAAGTGACAGCCATTGTACACAGTTGACTGTTATAGATGTATTATTATAGTTACACTAGTATACAGTGATTGTCTGTTATAAATGTAAAATGTTTTTCCTTCCACATAGAAAGTGACAGCCATTGTAGCAGCAGTGACTGTTATAATGTATTATTATAGTTACACTGTAACAGTGACTGTTATAATGTACTATTGTTTTCCTTCCACCATAGAAAGTGACAGCCATTGTAGCAGCAGTGACTGTTATAATGTATTATTATAGTTACAGTAACAGTGACTATTATAATGTATTATTAAAGTTACACCATAGTAACTTTATAAAATGTATTATTATAGTAACATTGTAGCAGCAGTGACTATTATAATGTATTATTATAGTTACACTGTAACAGTAACTTATAATGTATTATTATAGTTACACTGTGTTGTGATAGAAACACAGGCCTTATCTCTAGGCTTTATTGAACATAGAATCTTCATAGTACTTCTGCAACAACAAAATATAATGACTAGTACATCTAATAAGGCTTCTACAGGGATGGTGAGTCTTGCATATGTCAAGAGAAAAGTATAACTACGAGGCCGTGGTAACTCCTGGTGACACAAGCCTTGTGGAGAGCTGAGAGTGATTTGCCAATCATGACATGCTGCTCCACAGTGGGACCTAAGAAATAGCATCAGGTGAGATGTTTTCTCTTGACCCGGTCGGTACAGCAATATCAAGTCATAAAAACACGATAGTCCATCCTCCAGCGTAATATCTTGTCATTCTTTATCCTACTTTGTGCCTCTTAGTCGAACATATAGCATCACGGACCGTTGGTCAGACATCCTTATGGTGAAATGTCTACCATTAAATAATGTCTCCGTGGCGAACTGCTCCTAGATGGACTGGCTTCCTTTTCTGGCAGCAGCCATACACATTTCTCTGATCCTTGAAAAGTTCTCGAAAAGAAGGCTACTGGTCATCCTGCCTGAGATAAGACTGCCAGCATGGCAATGTGAGATGGCCGTCCGTTTCCACTTCGAATGGTAGGGACTCATCAATGGCTTTGAACTACTGAGTTTTCAATGTCCTTTTGAGAAGTATGGTAAGCGGTTTTCCTGCTTCCTTTGTCACAGGAAATGTGGTAGCACATCAATGGGCGGACTTTACTTGTCAATAGTTTATATCCAATGTGAGTAATAAGCAAAGAGACCAAAGTACTTCGGAGTGACTTTGTTGTCTTGAGTGCATTGGTGAAGATCCCGTAGAGGTCGTAGTCGTTCAGGGTCTGGGAATATGAACCTCCTTTCCACTACATAACCAAGGGATGCTAAGCCTTTAGTAGAAAAAGTGGCCACTTTTCCTCATTGTAACTGATATTTTTCTTCTTGGCGCTCCAAAAACTTATCAAGGTTTGCATCATGTTCCTCTGGGTCCTTGGCCACAAAGGTAACATTATCTAAATAAGCATAGGATCCCATGGTTGCTCTTACCTGAATGAGGTGAATCCAAATAATTCGTTGGAACACAGGCTACCCCATCGGTGACTCCAAAAGGACTCTGGTAAACTCGATACAGGCCATCACTAGCCTGAAACGCTGTGTATGGTTACTATCTGCATTCCTTATAGGGACTGAATGTAGGCACTCTGCAGATCAATAGTGTGCTAAAACACGTAGTACTGAGCATCTTTTGTTCACTGTATCGTCAATTCGAGGTACAAGGTACCCATACAAGAATGTAAATCTTTTTGATTGTCTCAGATCATCGATAGCCAGTCTCCGTTTCCTATAACCATCTTTCAACAACAAACAACCTGTGCACTCCAAGGGGAAACACTCGGTTCTAGTAATACCCTCCTTCAGCAGCCTCGAGTTTCTTTCCTCAATGACCACCGATCCCTCATAACGAATAGCGGCGTGACTTCTAGCATAGACAATAGGGATGCAATCCGCGGTAAGATTTGCAAACAGCTTTGTGGTCTACTCTTAAAGTGCTACAGTTCCACAGACAACAAGAGGAGGCTCTGTTGCACCTCCCATATGTTAAGGTGACACTAACCGATGCAGCTGTCTGAAAGTCCTACTACGCAAGAAACATCAGAGCACAGTTGTGGCGAAATAGCTAAATGTACATCTTGAGTTAGATCCTTTCCATTAACTCTGTAGATTTACCTTACAAAACCCTAAGGTCTGAATAGAGAGAGATGTTGATGCCATGGAAACGGTACCCCGTTGAATGAATTGATGTAGAGTCCAAGGAGTAGCCGTGTAAAACTAAGTCAGGTTGAAAAAATAAAAATCTCCTGAGCTGCCACTATCAACTAAGACCATCTACTTCTGTATTCCTTTGATGAATACTTTCACAACTTCATCTTTGACAGTGAATTTGGAAGTCAGCCGCAGAAGTCATCTGTTGCTGAGACTGTGTCGCATGCTTCACTGGAATGTGTGGGAAGGCACCTATCTGGGTTGTTGATGCATCTAGCACGACATACTTTAGCAAAGTTGCCTTCTGTGGCATGATTCAATGGCTCATAGCCTTTCTCGCAGGCAGACACTTTGGACGCTGGATGTCTTTGGCAAAAACCACAAAAGAAACACACCGTACGCTGCTGCTGCTGTCACTGAACAGGTTCCCCATAACGTTCATTGCAAGACGTCTTGGTCAGAATTGCAGCACTTTACAACTCGAGAAGGCTATAGTGGTACTTGTATACTTCAGAATTCTTCTGGGCTGAATCTTAGAGCTGCTTGCCTGGTCAAAGCGCGGCTAAGGTCGAGAGTTTTTATTCTCCAATAAACGCTGCCTTATTATTGGGATTGCAGGCCACTGATCAAAATCTTCCCTTATGGACTCTTCAACAATAGCTGATCAGCTGTCACTGCTTGAAGTGATCAGTCCTTACCTAAAATTTTTCAGTGGCATTGAAATATTCCTCTAAGGACTCACGGCATCTGCTGGCGGCGATTGCAAGGCGATAGCGTAGCAAAAGACATTTCATTTGTAGGTTTAATATACTGAACTGAGGGTTTTGATAGCATCTTCGTTAGTATTACACTCATAAATAGCCTCATATATCTTAGGTGACACAAAATTGATGAGCAAGACATAGTTTATCTAGATCTCTTCTTTAGGAAGGGGCTCCCAAGAAGTTTTCGAAAGTCTTAAACCCAGTGCTTCCATTCCCTGAACGAGTCCGTAGTAGATAAGCCTGTGGGTCACAGTAGCATACCTCTCAGGTTTCAGATAAACGCTCATGAGTGGGATGGTAGTCTAGCGCAGTGATCACCACCAGGACACGCCAGGATTCTATGTTCAATATACTATTGTTGTAGATAGAAAAAACAGGCCTTATCTCTAGGCCTTTATTGGAACAAGAATCTTGCATAGAACTTCTGCACCAACAAATCATAATATATGACTAGTTACAGCTAATGAATGTGCTGTCTACAGGGTATGGTGATACTCTTGCATGCGATGTCAAGAGAAAATAATAACTCCAGGCGTGATAACTCCTGGGTTATACAAAGCCTCTGGGAGAGCTGAGAGTGATTGCAAAACATGACACATCTGTAACAGTGA